AAAAACTAAAAAAAAAANAAAAAAAAAAAAAAAGTAGAATCCCTACCTACCGACCCTAATTTTTTCTGGACTGTAATAGGAAACACAACATTTATTTTGTTAGGCCTAAGATAGAGGTACTGATTTTCCCCTCCTACAGAACTGGTCCATAAGATACAACAAGGAGGAGCCTGTTGCACCCCGATATGAAATCAATGCTCCAGACTTGTACATACCAGGTGAGACCATTCCCATTTTCTTTAACTTGACACATAAAACGGCTTATTTACCAGGTCACACCAATTTGATTTGTTGGTTCTCGGATTATTTCAGAAAAAATATGAAGTCAAATGCTATACCAGGCTGATTTGTAATTCAAACAATGAATTTCAAACTTTTAATCAAACCACTGCAATTATACATGTAGATGGAAAAACTGTAACAATTTAAAAAATACTATAAAAGGAAGGAGGGAAGGGACTTTTTGAGCATTTTGAAGTTGATTCAGTGGCTGATATGTTTTTTGCAAATCAGAAAAAAATGAAGCCAGCAAATCTGTGAACCAACAAATTGAATTGGTGTTTGCAGAGATTCTTTTGCACTCTAGACCAAATTGATTATTAAAAAAGTAAAGAATACACATGTTCATTTCTCTAGAACAATGTACCTCTGACGAAGGCATGAGATCTCTGACCTCTAGTTCCTTTTCAAAAAGCAAGTACAAATGTAGGTGAACAATGTTCACTGAGACGTTACTGGTAGGAAAAGCAAACATGTACTTAAATATGATGGGAAAGTACCATAAAATGAAATATTTACTTTTGAAAATATTAGTTATAATTGTAACTGTAGAATAATTAATTCTGGTACGTAGCTGTACAATGCAGATGTTGTGCGAGATTAAACCTAACACGTTCAGGTATAGTTATGTATAGAATCTGTATTTTGACCTGTATGATGCTCCTTTCTTCCAGTTATGGCATTTGTGACGTACATTCTGGTTGCTGGATACTGCCTAGGAACACAAAACAGGTTTGTTTCTACAAGTGGATTATATAATATTAATTTCGATGTGGTCATAATATAGTACACGTAGATGAATTAAAATATAATTATAGATACAATTGGTGTGTGGGCTATCCCAATTGTCCTCTGGGATGGAGGAAATTTTTTTTGTCCCCCTCCTCTCATTTCAGTTACCATCCCCCCATATTTTTACTGTATCATTGTTCTTCAAACATTTTGAAACATTATATTCAAGCATGGTTTCTCCTTCAGAACTGGTTTTCTCCTGAATAGTTTGTGATAATGAAATACATGTATTGTAATGTAAATAAATTCCTCCAGTTTTACCCCTGAACTGCTGGGTATGCAGGCCAGTTCTGCGCTGGTGTGGCTCATCCTGGAGATAGTGGTCATCACCATGGCCATGTACATCCTCAGCGTAGCTACTGACATCAAGACATTCGACCTGCTAGCCTTCTGTGGATATAAATATGTAGGGTACGTATGGATAGTCAGCTTTTTTGTTTGTTATGTTCACCGAAGGAAAACATATTGTTTTTGCTCAGTTTCTTCTTCCTCTTCTTCTTCTTCTGACCTCTGACCTGAACCGATGTTGTGGCTGTTGCCTTGGTAACTGGTGTTGGGTTACATCATGTTGCAATTTCATAGCAGGAGGGATTTATACTCCTGTCTGACCATACACGTATACATGAATGTATTTGAGTAAGAATTAACAGAGCAGACCATGTGAAAAGGTAAACATTATGCATTTGCATCTTTGTTAGTAAGTGTAAATTTTACATGATTCTTCCTGGAGTCTGTAAAAGGGAATCACCAACTTTCAGATAGTTGTATTTGGACTTTGATAATGGGAACATACCAGTATTGTTTAAGGCAGGTGGAATGTTAACAGATGCTAATTATGCTTGCCAAGTGATTTGCATAGTCACTGTGAAAATGCTATGATTCCTAAGTGGCTTATGATTGGCGTTTCATACTTCGAGTTAACTTCACTATGCATATAGAAAATCTGCATAATTAATGATAATATGAACTGTTGAAAGAAATTCTATAAATCTGCTTTGTTCGATAATAGGACGATGAAACACTTGTGACATGCAATTGAGAATAAAAAAAACATCTGAGGATATAGATTATGTAAATGAAGACCTAATTTGCATAATTAATGGAAAATTTTTATAATTTCACAGTTGTAACTGCTGGGAATTTCATACTTGCCACATTTGGAAGTTAAGTGAAGGCGAACATGAATAAACATAATTTATTCAAATCATGACCTCATTTGCATAATTTATGAGGAAGTGCTATAATAGCCTGTCATTGGGTGGAGAATATGATCAACTGATATAACCCATGCAAATGAGGATCTTATTTGCAAAATCAATTATCAAAATTGTATAATTCTTCAACCGCAAGGGTTAACATCATTTGGCGAAGGTATGAGATCGTGGAACTCTTGTTTAAACAAGTATTCACTAAAATTCTGACTACAGTTAAAAAGCTAAAATTTTATCTTTCTAAATCAGTAGTCAGAATTTTAGTGAATACTCAGAAATCAATAATAGTAGTCATTGTTGTTTATCTGTTTGTTTATTTTTTTCAGAATGATTGGCATTCTGCTAGGAGGGATGTTGTTTGGCTCCATGGGGTACTACCTGGCCCTGGCATGGTGCAGTGCTAGTATGTTTTTCTTTTTGGTAAGTACTCACGTTTGCACTTCTTGGGATTTGGAGAAATTCTTGGGATAACATTGATCGATGAAGATATAGAAAGGGGAGCACTTACATTTTGTAGCTATAGATGGCTTAAGGGCATGTTGAAAAAAATTGAAGAAGGAAGGATTCAAAAGATAAACCAATGAGCAAGTGCCCTTTAGGAAGGTCATGCAAGAAATGTTTATTTATTTATTTATGAAGATGTACCACATTTGTGGAAGGATTGACATAACAGGTCACCTCTTCAAGGTGTCAAACCTGAGACCGGATTGTAAGGTTTGAACCACTCACACCGGGAAGGACCCCTGCTCTTTTCGAAAAGTGTGGTGGGTTCTTTAAGTTAAACATGCATGGGGTGTGGTTGTCCCAAACACAGGACCTCCATTTAAAGTCCTATACGAGGAACGTCCTTACCCGAAGCTAGGTACTCATGTACACCTGAGTGAAGTGAGGAAAGTCATGTAAAGTGCCTTTCCCAAGGGCACAAGATCGGTGACATCGGGTAGGTTTCGAATCCGGGACCTCTTGGGCCTGAGCCGAACAGCTACTACTATGCCACTGACCCCAACCAAATATTGACCAAGTACAGACTGGGCAGACTAGACAGAATTGAGGGGGAGGAGGGGGTGTTTCAAGATGGACGAAGGAATGGAGAAGGAGATGCTCTCAACTGACCCTAAGACCTACCTGGGGAAGATCAGAATGTAAGATGTAAGTAAGATGTTTGGAAAGATCTGACAGCTTTCTCATACCAGTTTGTTCATGCCTTATGTCACCCCCATAGTTACGGACACTGCGGTTGGTGATCTTGCCGGATGCGTCGCACGACATGGGAGGCAGCGGAGGCAACAAGGGGAGAACGTATCTCGTGCTGGCCATCGCCGTTCTCCAGCCAGTCTTCATGTGCTGGTTAACAAGGCATCTCATCCCCAATCAAAACTGAAAGTAACTCAAGCAACTCTTTTTTGGTAGAAAGCGTACTACCGGTACGAATTTTGAAAACTTTTCATATCCAACACAATGAAAAAAATACCACGAAAAGTTTTAGAAAAGTCCGTCAAAAATCTGGGAGTGTGTTTTCTTTTTGTTGGATGTCAAAGTGGTTTTTGAGATTTGTAGTTTTTTTCTCTGATCCTAGTCACACCAGTGTTTCCAAACCTTAGACTGCCCAGCTCAACAAGAAACCAGAGATAGTGTGTCAGAATAGGAAAATGCAATATAATTATAAAGATTTGATACTCTTTGTTTAAAAGAACACAAAAGAAAGTTACATGTACAACTATACTGCATTAAGTTCCTGTCTAAACTGCTAGGTTTCGACGTCCAAAAATTGCCAATGATTTTGTACAAAACTTGTCTCCTTTAATGTGCAAAGCAAGTATTTGAATCCTGTTCAGAAACTTAGTTAAATTTTTTGATCATACAATCAAATTTTGCTATAAATAGAAGGGGGAGGGGGCAGCCAGTTTTCGGACTTGAAGGATCGAAGGTTATTGTGAGTGTGAAAAACTGTACAGTTCTAGTATATTGTAGAAAGCTGTAGTATAAAAAGGTATTCTCACTAACTACATAATTATGGTTCAAGTCAATAGCCAATACATGTATGTTTTGATGTGCCAGTAAATAGTGACAGACTTTACTTTCAATCTCCAAAAGTCATAAACACTTACTGAATTGTAGAGCCTAGACAGTAGACTGACAAAAGAAAAAAACAATCTAGTCACTCTTGCCGAAGACAATGTTATAACCATGTTTGAAATGTGTACTATGTATGATTTTGATTTTCAGCACTGTATAATGTGTTAAAGTGTCACACAGTAACAAAATGACTGTACCATAGACTAGAGCACAGAGTATTTGACTATGAAACACAACAATGACAACATACCAACCATTACCATGGATGTACAAAATTTAATGATACAGAATGCTACAGATGGAAAGTCACTAAAACCTATAAAAATATTTCATACCTTAATACCTTCGATCCAACGTAAAAAGTTCTCTCAACTAGAGCTTTTGACCAGTCACTCTGGTCTCAGTAGACTGACCCAGTGGACTGACCCAGTGAGGCTTATCACGTAGCTTCTTTGAAGTGTGACGTCAACATTGGGTCAAAGGTATCTGGTAGATGATGTCGGCCCCCGTTTGTGTTGGATTGAAAAGTTTTAATTTTGAACATGTAACTACCAACACAGATGAACTTTCATGATAATACCTGGATCACATTTGCATGGTAGAGCACAAAAGTAAACTATATGCTTCAACCTTTTTGCACTTCACATCTTTTCTTGTCGGGATAATGTTGTGAAACAAAAGATATTCTTAACTGTTATTACTGTATAGTTTCACCATCAAGCAAACTTTCATTATACAATTGCATTTGCACTACAAAAACGTTAGGGATTTATGAAAATCATTCTCCATGTGAAAAGTCCTAGAAAAATACACATCAAATAATTCAAATATGACTTATTTTTTATATACACATGGTATTTTTGGATAAGAAGTGATCCTGATGTCAAGTGCTCATCGTTTATGAATGGTTCATATTGAATATAGACTTTAAGTTGAATATGAAGTACAGAATATGAGTTCATGATATTGTGGCCATGAAATAGTTGACTTTACTTGTATTACAGAAGAAAATTAGGTTTGCTTCTGAGCAAAGGTTAAAAAAATTCATTGGGCCTCCTTAAATATTTTAAACATTGGGTTGTGTACATGTAGAAGTGTATTTTGTACACAAGTTAGAGTCAGCAATTGAAGAAAGGAAGAATAGTATAGTGTTGTTATCAAAGTTATTTATTGCAGTAATATGTTATTGTCATAATTCATCCTTCATTTTGGTCTTTCACCGGCAATTCTGTTCCAAAAAGCATGTACGTGTATCACAATGGCTGTTATACAAGAAAAACAATGTTTAACAATCCCCTCTCATTTTATATATCTCTGTTACGTTGCTTGAAACATTTGACTATAGGTTAAGTTTGTTTTAGCAGTCTTGCTTCTTTTGTTTCTTATGGCACAGAACCAGCATTTGTGTAAAGTTTATAATATAATTACATTGTATGCCAGTTGTGCCTGAAGCAAGCATGGACATGTACGATGTATGAAACAAGGTATGAAGTACATGTTAGATGTATATCAATCACCATGGTACCATAAGAGACCAATTTCTGACTCCTTGTCACTACTAGTGCTGTGTTCCTAAACCCACATTTAGGTTCAGGTCCAGATTCATGTCCAGAGGTTTAGGTTGGCAACCTTACAATGTTTAGGCAAAACTTTGGCCATATAACACGGAGGCTGACACTTGACGATGCCTGATGGCAATGTTTTCTTCATTTTGCAGCACAGATTTTGCAATCTACAGAAGGTATGGAAAGAAAAGGGGTATGTGACATGGGTTTTTTTTTGTAGTAAGTCTAGAATTGGTTCTTGACTTTTAGTTTTTTTGGACTTGGACCTAAACATTTTTACATTTGTACAAGTCCGGAACTCCAGCAAACTGGTACACAGCACTAGTCACTACGAAATACTGGTATGTGAAAACCTGGATTCATGCACAAGGGTCGACCATTCATGAAGTACATGTAAAGCTGTGAAATTGATGTTTCAAACTTGTATTCAACATTGTATCAGTATTTGTCCTTTTGTTTTTGGTCAATAAATTTTACTTAAAAAAGCATGGCTTTGTCAAGTTTGCTTCCAATTTATGTTCTGTTCTCACCGGAAATTCTCACTTCTAACTTCTTAATGTAGTTTCAGTAGAAAAGTTTCATATTGATGAAGTAAATTAAAACAAAAGAATACCAGTATACCATAGTTCTTATTAATCTGTGTATGAATAATTCTATTGCTTTCAAAAAATTAAGACCATGGATCTTCCTTTAAGCATTGCCTCTTGCTCTAAAAGGTCAATGATGAGAGACGTATTAATAATTCAAATATTTGCATTGAATCATTCAGGATTTTAAGTCCATCACAAGCAAGGTATAGTGCTTCTCCATGTCACCACTCCATCATGTGACATCAGGGATAAATGACATCTTGAATAATTTAATTGTCTTCTTCCTGTGAGAATTTTCAAGGCAGAGGAGACGAATTAACATTCAGCATCTCTTACTGAGTTACGGTTACAGCCATGGAGGTTGTGATGGATTTTTCCAAGGCTTTGGACAACAATTTCAGCCTCTCTTACTGAGTTACGGTTACAGCCATGGAGGTTGTGATGGATTTTTCCAAGGCTTTGGACAACAATTTCAGCCTCTCTTACTGAGTTACGGTTACAGCCATGGAGGTTGTGATGGATTTTTCCAAGGCTTTGGACAACAAGGACCTGTTACGAGCAGCGTATGACCTGGATAAGGAGATGGCGGATGTTTGTCTGGAGGCAGGGATCAGTGTGAACTACAGGGACCACACTGGGAGTACGGCCCTCCACTATCTAGCTGAGGGGGCAGCAGTCAAGTCAGGCGATCCCCTTGTAGTGACCAGACAGGGTAAGTTTTACCGCAAGCCTCTGGAATAGTGCTCCTAGACCCACATTTAGGTTCAGGTCCGGATTCAAGTCCAGAGGTTTAGAATAATGATTCAGTTCCAGACTTGTAAGTCCGGATCTAAACCCATGGTATATACAAAATTGCATGTTGGCAACCTTGCAATGTTGTTTGGGCAAAACTTGTTTGGGCTACATAACATGGAGGCCGACACTTGACTATGCCTGATGGCAATGTTTTCTTCATTTTGCAGCACAGATTTTGCAATCTATTGAAGGTTTTAGGTGGTTTGGAAAGGGGTATGTGTGATGTCCGGAAATCGGTTCTTGACTTTTAGGTTTTTTTGGACTTGAACCAAAACATTTTTACAGCAAACCGGTACACAGCACTGCTCTGGAATAATATGGCCTCCCGAGCACTGCCAGACACTCCCCAACCATAGTTCCAAAGTCAGCTGTGGTTGGTGTTTGCTCTGTGTTTGTTCCATCTGATCATACTTTAACACACTATCTGGAAACAAAGAAATACAACAGATCTGTCCTTGGTGCTGAATAACAAATCCCCGCACACACCCCGCACATAAAAATAGATTATTTTTTTTATTTTTCTTATTCAACCCATTCGTATACGTATGACCAAGAAAATCAAACTAGATGGTAGTACTCCTCTAGATGTATCTACAAATCATCCAGATGGAGGCCTGGCAAAACCCCGTCTCGTATTAGCCACTCACTCCTAAATATGCTCTGCCCATACAGGTACTGCACTGCTGGACTCTCTTCTGTCCTATAGGCCTGACCTCAACATTCCTGACCACCAGGGCATCACCTGTCTACACATCGCGTCTGCCAACAACCTGTTCTGGCTTGTTCACCAGCTTCTGCAGCAGGGGGCTGACCCAACCATCAAGGATGGGCTGACAGGAGAGACACCTGTGGAGATGTTCTACCACAGTATCCTCCAAGGAAGGAAGGTAAGCATGCCCGTAGGCAGGTTTTTGAATGGGGGGTTCCAGTGCTTGAGGGACCAGCGAGCGCCTTAGGCGCAAGGTTCCTAGGGGGGTCCGGGGGTATGCTCCCCCTGAAAATTTTGAAAAATGAACCTTCTGAAATGGCATTTCCTGCATTTTTGAAAGGATTTCAAAGAAAAAAATCAAAGATAACTTTTTATTCAATGAAAAAGTAGGCAGTTTTTATTCGATTCCATCCCCGCTGGTGATACGAATCAGTCCATCTAAAGAAAAATCTTGGACCTTTACATAAAAAGTGGACCTTTCAGCCTTGTGGGGGGGGACCCCATGGGTATGGGCATTGTAAGGCCACACCAATTTAATTTGTTGCTTCTCAGAATCAGATCGCCCCGTCCATTTTTTTCTGATTTGCAAAAAAAAAAAAAAAAATTGGTTGGTTCTAAATTAACTACAAAAATTTTGCAGT